CTACACGTTCCATCACTGCTGTAAAAGATTCAGAACACATAAAACTGTTGAGACCTGTTCCACTGCACACCACGAGTGAATGTATATCATGAGTTCACCATTTTCGAATATGACTAGTAACAGCTCAAAAACAAAGCTCACGCCAAACAACCACAGATACACACCTGTGAGTGTGGTAAAACCTGACTCCAAAATGATGTACGCATTAATAATTACAACTCAGAGTCCATGGGCTTCCTTGATTGACTTTTACAAACTCAAAATGGAAGCAGTGCAGTCTTATATCTTAAGCACCAACTTCTTCACTCATGGTCCGAATAACTCCTGTAAGAACACTTTCCCATAAAGCATTGCGGCCAACATAATACGCCGCAACTCAATGTATATATAGTGCGCCATCTACTGGGAAACGCTAGAATGCATGACAAATAAAACATCAACAAGGTTTATTATTGTAATTTATTCCAGTTCGGCGGGCCGGATTAAAAGGTTTAAAGGGCTGCATACGGCCCCCGGGCCGTAGTTTGCCCACCCCTGGCCTAAATCATCCCGAGTTTGCAGCGAACATTATGTATGTGGAGCGCCATCAAAGTGGGATCCCAGACGATACAGACGACAAATAGACTGAGCTCACACTTTCTTGTTCTTGTAGTTTTACAGCAAAATTAAGTCTTGGTCTCTTTGCAGTGGAAGGTGTTTCTTGGCGAACAGCTGGTGCCTTTCACTTTGGCGTTGACTTTTTAAATTCATAACCAAGGCTGAGTGAGGGATCGGGGTTTTGCTTTGATGGCGCTCCACATACAAAATGTTCGCTGCAAACTTGGGATGATTTAGGCAGTCAAAAGTTAACTTTTTCGTCCTTCCCGTGGATCAGTACTGCCCATCGCCTTCGCCTTTCACTATTTTTCAATTCCGTAGGGAAGGGAAACAGTTTGAACAGAGGTTTGCAGTCACACACACTTGATTCACTTTTGCATCTATGGAGTTTGCAAACAAATTTCTCGAGCCATTTTCCACTGTTAGGATCCAACAACCAGACAATTATGTTGTCCGAATCCCAAAACTAAAATATGACGATATCAGAACCAGAAACAAAAGTGATATGGTTAAAAAAAAACTTGAAAAGATTGGCTTTGTCAATAGACACATCCCACTGTAAAATCAAACGTGGTGGTTTGATGTTCACTTTTTTGGAAAATCCTTCCCAGTATGCATTGCGCAATGACCGGAAGTCCGAGATTCTTGATGCGTGTATTGGTCTGATTGACATGCCTCAGCGATATCTCCAATTACCAGTACTGATGTTCCCTGTTAATACCGCGGGCCATCCTAATCTCAAGTTATCATCATGAACTCATAATACAGGAACATGTAGAACTTCGTTGAACTCACTGCACATCAGCCCGGAGCAGAACCACTGAGCTCGGCCAACAGCAGCAGCCAACAAAGCAAAGAGGAGCACTCACCTCGCGCAGCCCCTCAGGACGGGGCTGAGGTCTGGTCCGTGGTTTTGTGTTGTCCTCCGAGTGCATTGGTCAGATGGTCCGGAGGCTCCATCCTGCATGTGCTGGTTCCAGATGGGGACGAGTAAGGCCTGGGTCCGAGCTGTTCCGTGCTGTCGTCTGTGTGCTGGTTCCGTGCGAAGAAAGCGAGAATGCGCTGTAGACTACAGGTCCAGGTGGGCTGTTCCAGTTCTCCATGCTCAAGAATCGCGGCTGGTTCCGAGGTGGTGCAAAACATCTGGACAGAAGCGTGATCCAGTTTGGTTGTTTGTATATTGTTTTGAGCGTCCGTCCTCCGTGCTCTTGGTTCTTCCTGGGGAAAGTTCTTCTCAGGCTGAGGCACCTAACATCACTCCCCACTCCAGCTCTTCTGAGCCCGAACTCTGGTTTGGATCTAGTCCGACTGTAGTATTTCTCATATTAGGCTAAAAGCGGCATTTTTAAAGTTGAATCAATTGAATAGGCTATTGCCTTTTGCCATAAAATGATTTGGTTAATTAATAGCCTAAAATAACAAATGCTGGTTGCTACGTGAACACGGGGAACACTGGGACCTCTCTGCGTGCAGGGTCCTGAACAGGGGTATGCACCTCCAATTTTGACTCACTTTGGAGCCACACATTCGCATATGGGTACTTGATCAGTTCATTGTGTATTTCATTCTCTGTATTGACCATTGTTGTCAAAATAATTTGAAAATGAGTCGCGGCTGCATCTGGAAAACAATCTGTTATTGCCCTGGAGTCCTATAGCGCGGCATTTCAGGCAGAGGAGATGTCACCTCCTATGAAATGCATCACCTCCTATGATGCATTTCAAATAGTTCGTTTGACCCTACTGTCTATGGTTTGGAGCCAAGTTCGTGTTCACACCAGAGGAACCACACCAGAGTTTGGTATTCGGTGCGGATTCAAGCGAACCGAGACTACCTCTTTTTTGAGGTCTCAGTCCGATTGATGCGTCCACACCAACAAAAACGAACCGAAATAAGAGCTTTTGGTTCGAATGGACCATTTGGTGCGCACCAACTACAGTCGGTGTGAAAGCACCCTTACACCTCAGAAGTTCGTATGCTGCAGCTGTGATAAGTTCCCATGGATTGGTCTAGTGGAGGAGGTCTCAGAAGAATTCAGTGACTATAAGATAAAGTTCATGCACTGTCATGGCCCAGCCAAAACCTTCTACTGGCCGTCTAAAGATGATTCTTGTTGGATACCTGATTCAGACATACACTGTGTGATAAACACTCCTTTGTTGAAATCAACTTCAACAAGAAACTACAGCATTTCGCATCATGACATGTCCAGAAGTTCTAACCACTGTTTGAACTGGTCTGCAGATAAGGAGTAAATATCCTGATTTCATGAAACAAAGACAGTTGTGAAATTTTAAGTGACATTTGGTACTGTGTGATCGACAATTTTTTTCTTAGAGTTTATCAACTTGGACTCTGTGTGTATAAATGTATAACCGTATACACTGAATGGATAAATGAAAATGTAATTGTGATATCTCCAAAACAGTTGGTCCGATCAAACTAATATTTGAAATTTTGGCTTTTCTGACTGTGTTTTATCTATAAACCAAGTTTCATAAAAATGTAAGAAACGAGGGTTTAACTCATTGGGTGAACTGAGGGGGACCGACCCTGCAATCGCTGACGTCCAGTAGCGACTGGACAATAGAGGATTCACACCGCACTGCTTAACTTGCCCTAGATAAAAATGAATAAATTTGTTTTGTCTTAGGCTATATATTTCATATTCTGTGTCTATCCCTTTATTTGATTCATGTCTTTATCCCATAGACTGTATACACACACACACACACACACATATATATCACAAATCACAAATTTGCCTTATAAATGATGCAAACTTTTAATCAGTGGCATTACCACAAACACAAAACACTGTCCAATTTCTTCCTCAAAAGTCTGAGCTCTGCTCCAAACTGCATGTTTGTACTGACAGAGGATTGACTGTAGACTTCTCCATTAAGTGTATTATAAATGATTAGAATATCAATCTGAATTAAAGGGATAGTTCAGGATTTTTGACATGAATCTGTATGGCATCCCCATCATCAGTGTTGTGCATCCACACCGACTTACCCCCCGAAAGCGCCCGGTGAGCTGAGATCGTGACCGGTTTTGGTGCTGAGGAAAGTAGTTCGGCAAGTTGTGTGGGGACTGTATACTAAAGCGTTTTTCTTCTCAAAGCAATATTTGTTCAAAAGAGTGATACATTTGCATCACAAAACCATCGTCGCCAAAAAAGTCAGATCTCATAATCGCTTGGCGCTATTTTCTCTCCGTACGTACCACTGCACTACGGATCCATCACTTTCTTCAGTTGTTCGGCAGTGTTTACATGCGCAGACCGCCGCCACGCGAGAGAGCTAACGAGAGAGCTAGAGCCATAAGTATATGAGCCTGGTTCACTTTGTTTACTGCTCGGAATGTTAGCGACAACATGTCTGATTATGACACCGACAATAAAGACTTTGCCTTTACCACAAACCCAAGGGGAGATCTTTGTGAACCCGAATATACTGATGCCGAATTTCACCAGATGGAGTTAGAACGAGCAGAGAGAGAGAGAAAAGACAGAGAAGTGGTACAAGTTGACGCTGGAGCCGTGAGAGACCGAGTGAACTACAATCACCATCACGTCATTTATAAACTCGTATACAGCGAACATACAGCCGACACTGTGACTGAAGTATGGACAATTAACAGAAACATAGAATCATTCACACGTCCACGTAGCTGCTGCCAACAGTGTACGTGACATTTACAATAGTTATAACAGTCTATTTATAAAGTTACGTTTTGTAGAAGCTTCACTGGTGATATGACACTGAGTGATTTACTGCACACAGAGTTACAGCTGATTCTTGAGTCTGTTCTCTTGTAAACGTAGCGGCACTTCTTCGTTCTTACCTGGTTTAGTTTCCACATTGAAGCCAAAGGCAAGAAGCCAAAGTTTCTTCAGCGCAAAGTCCGTGACAGGAAAACGGTGAAATGTGTGTGGAGATTCAGCCAGATTTTTGTTGTTACAGCCTGGATAATCAAGAGTTCGCACCATTTTTTAGATATATTCATATGTATCTTATACAAGCTCATATACTTATGGCTCTAGCTCTCTCGTTAGCTCTCTCGCGTGGCGGCGGTCTGCGCATGTAAACACTGCCGAACAACTGAAGAAAGTGATGGATCCGTGCACAGCTGTCACCTGGCGGCCGCGCGCAGTGGTACGTACGGAGAGAAAATAGCGCCAAGCGATTATGAGGGCTGACTTTTTTGGCGACAGTGGTTTTGTGATGCAAATGTGTCACTCTTTTGAACACATATTGCTTTGAGAAGAAAAACGCTTTAGTATACAGTCCCCACACAATTTGCCAAACTACTTTCCTCAGCACCAAAACCGGTCACGATCTCGGCTCACCGGACGCTTTCGGGGGGTAAGTCAGTGTTGATGCACAACACTGCTCACGGGGATGACATACAGATTTATGTCAAAAATCCTGAACTATCCCTTTAAGAAGGTGTCTCTGATTCAGTTTGTTGGGAATGATCAGCTCACATATGCTCCTCTCAAACAGGTCGTTCACCTGCTTCTTCAGGTGGTGCATCTGAAACAAGACATGCATAGATATTTACCATAGAAATACTTTTGAACAAGTCAGAGGTTCTACATGTGACGCAACAATCCTGAAAAAATTCTAATTGTGTTTGGTGACTCCTCAGATGGAGAAGACTTTGTACAGAGCATTAATGAAATCAGCATGAATGAAGCATAATGTAATAGAAAGAAATAAAACAGAATCCAACCTTTTTTCTGGTATCCATAGACCTCCACTTCACAGAGGGTCAAATACTTGTCTGTCCCTGGGATGAGCACGTTCACATACTGCCCCTCCACAGCTCCATCCAGTATGAAGGTTTTAGAGCGGCCTGCTGGGATGTGTGAAACTGTAGCCACTCTGAAACAGACAGGTGCATCATTATGTGTGTTATTTATTTATATTTAATCATAATTACATTTGGACACTCAAAGACATGTTGCAGAGCATTAGTCATTCACTCCACACTGGTGGAGGTAACATACACAGCTGCCCTGGGGCAGAGTGACAGAAGCGAGGCTGCCAATCTGTGCAATCGGCCCCCTCCCACCATCAGCAACACTCACAGCACATTGATACTAGTGTGGATGAAGTGTTTTAACATCAGCACTAACCAGGCCCAGGCCTGTTTAGCTTTGCAGATCTGAGAAGATCAGGCTTTGAAAAGGTCTGGGGTCATGTGGTACAATCATAGACTGTATAAAATGGACTGAGAGAGTACGACGTTCTCCATAGTGTTTAGCTCCAGCCAAATGAAGTCAATCAAGGCTAGCCATTATAGCTGCTAATTTGTGAGCAACAAGGCACATTAGCTGTCAATCAAACCTGCTGCTAATACGAGCAGGAGCTGACCTCTGGAAAAGAAGGTGCTTGATTGATCTGTTATTAATGTTCACAATACACAATAGTAGAATAAAACACCAGGATCATACACAGCCACTTAAAACAAACATTTCAAGGTCACAGTGAGAAACCTCATTCTGAGCCAGACTAGATAGAACTACTTTGCACCCATGGTCACTTCCTGATTGGAACGCAGTGACTACTGGACTATCTATGTCCATCTAGCTAGTTTACTGTCTACAGTTAGAATATACAAAACCCAAGAAACTTACAGTTTATTGTTGTTTCCATTATTGTCCAAGGAGTTGCCCACACGGATCTCAGCACCGTCCAGTCTCTCAGGGCAGCAGTCTTTTCTGTTCGTGATGGTGATGGAGGTAACAAAGTGTGGGTCTTTCAGGTCCACTCTCCACCAGGGGTCAGTGGTGGTGGCTGTGTGGGTGCATGACTTATCATAGTAGACAGAATTGCGGTTACCATCAATGGCATTGGAAGCAGCTCCGAGCTCATTGTATGTGTCAATCTGGGTCGCTGCACCGGTAAGAGCCAAATTAACTGAAAATCAAAAAAAAAAAAAACAAGTGTGGGGATTGCAGAATAAGATTTTTCAAAAAAGAGAAACATAAATATAAATGTGAGTAAAAGCAAAAAGCAAAAAAGTGGCAAAGACTTTGTACCATTGGCATCTGCCTCCCCGTAGACCTCCACTTCACAGAGGGTCAAATACTTGTCAGTTCCTGGTAGAAATACATTGACATAACGTCCTTCAGTAGGTGGACATACAATAAATTTTTCAGAACTGCCTTGTCCGATGTGGGAAATCGTAGCGACTCTGAAAATATATACATACCACAGTATTTTTATTGAAGTACCAGTACTGTTACTTGAGTAAACGTTTTCTCACTGTGAGCATGTGACAAAAGCTTGATGTTAACAGTGTACATATTTGTACATTATTGAATATTTTGTTCTTCCAATTATAAATCAGGGCTGGACTGGCCATCTGGAGCACCAGGAGTTTTCCCGATGAGCTGAGGAACTTTTGGGCCAGTCACTGTGAGACCTGATGTACTGTTCCAGTGACCTGCTCTTAGACCAGTGACACACTTCTGCAAAATGCATTTAGGATTCATGTTTTTTAGAATGGATTAAAAGTGATAGATTTCAGAAAATAGTATCCAATCTATTTTTTGACGCTTGACACAAGCAGAAGCACATATCCCCATCATTTAATTACAGTTAATAATATGAGTTTATTGAAAGCAGCCAAAAGCATTAGGGTTTGTGCAACAAATACCAATCAATAGCAATAATACCCCCAAATCTTACACACATTTTAAATGAGCAAGTTTAAGCTAATGATGATAATCAATTAGCAAAAAATTAATTAATTAAAAATCAGTTGTGCAAAGGGGCTGGTCCAGACCAAAACGTCCAGGGCCAATTTCCTCTGTCAGTCCAGTGCTGAAATCAGCTCTTATGTCTCAACAGTTACTCTTTAAGTAAACACTCTTTCCTGAGTAGTAGTTTTCCCAAATACTCTTTTACTCACGTAATTTATTGAACCATTATTTTGTACTTCTACCTGAGAAATATATATATTTTTAAAGTTACAGGTGTATTATGTCACTTCTCTGGTAGAGGGTCTGTCAAATAAATTTGTCTGTGCAGATGTTATTGCTTTGTTTGAAATGTTTCACAGTTTGGTATTAAACCTTTTTATCTTCATGGAAACCAAACCAGACCAAGTTACAGATCAGATCTGTGGAGAGGCAATCCCACTCACAGTCAGAATGCCTGTTTTTGAGCAATAGAACCATCTGTAATTAAATAAATGTATGTTTAATGTCAATTTTTGGTGACTCTTTCCACCTCTGGATTGTAGTTGTCATGAGTACTGACAATTAAAAAGTCTGTTCAAACTTACAGTTTATTGCTGTTCCCATTATTGTCCAAGGAGTTGCCCACACGGATCTCAGCACCGTCCAGTCTCTGAGCACAGCAGTCTCCTCTGTTTGTGATGGTGATGGAGGTAACAAAGTATGGGTCTTTCAGGTCCACTCTCCACCAGGGGTTAGTGGTGGTGGCTGTGTGGGTGCATGAGTTATCATAGTAGATAGAATTGCGGTTACCATCAATGGCATTGGAAGCAGCCGCGAGCTCATTGTATGTGTCAATCTGGGTCGCTTCTCCGGTAAGAGCCAAATTAACTGAAAATCAACAAAAACAAATGTGGGGATTGCAGAATAAGATCTTCAAAAAAGGGAAACATAAATATAAATGTGAGTAAAAGCAAAAAGCAGAAAAGTGGTAAAGACTTTGTACCTTTAGCATCTGCCTCCCCGTAGACCTCCACTTCACAGAGGGTCAAATACTTGTCAGTTCCTGGTAGAAATACATTGACATAACGTCCTTCAGTAGGTGGACATACAATAAATTTTTCAGAACTGCCTTGTCCGATGTGGGAAATCGTAGCCACTCTGAAAATATATACATACCACAGTAATTTTATTAAAGGACCAGTAGTCTTATTTCAGTAAAAATGTTCTCAATGTGAGCAATTGACAAAAGCTTTATTTTAACAGTGTGCATATTTGTACATTATTGAATCTTTTGTCCTTCCAATTATAAATCAGGGTTGGACTGGCCATCTGGAGCACTGGGAATTTTCCCGATGGACCGAGGAACTTTTGAGCCAGTCACTGTGAGACCTGATGTAACTGCACTTTAACTAGCCAGAATCACACCCTTTCTGAAAAAAAAACAAAAAACGGCCTGGACCCTGACAACCTGGACAACTTCGAGCCATCTTCAAGCTTCCTCTCCTCTCTAAAATAGAATGTGCCATCATTTTCCAACTTCAACAATACCTCCTTAACTTCCAGCTTTTTGAAATATTTTAATCTGGTTTCTGCCCCCATCACAGCACTGAAACAGCCCTCCTAAAAGACACCAACGACCTCTTCCTCGCCACAGACTCTGGTTCCCTCTCCATTCTCCTCGACCTCAGCGCAGCATTCGACCACACCATCCTCCTCCACCGTCTACAGTCCATTGGCATCTCTGGCACTGCACTCTCCTGGTTCTCCTCCTGCCTTTCTGACCATCACCACTACATCTCCATAAATAACTCCAAAGCCCACTCCTCCCCCGTCACCACTAGTGTTCCTCAAGGTTCGGTGCTCAGCCCCCTCCTCTTCATCATCTACATGCTTCCTCTCAGCCACACCATTCGCTACCATGGACTAAATTTTCACTGTTACGCCAATGACACTCAAGTTTACATCTCCACCAGATTCATCTCCCCAGTCATTCTCTCCACCATTACAAAATGCCTATCTGACATTAACACCTGGATGGACCACAACTTCCTCAAACTTAACATCAATAAAACAGATAAATAAATAAAACTACTCATCACCGGACCCAAAGCTCTCCTCCCCACTGCTCAGAACATCTCCCTCATCATCGATGGCCACACCGTTACCCACTCTCCCTCAGTACGCAATCTTGGCATCCTCATAGACCTTTCATTCAGAGTCCACATTAGCCACATCACTAAAACATGTTTTTTCCACCTTCGCAACATCGCCCTTCTCCGCCCCTCCCTCTCTCAGCCCACCGTAGAAATACCCATTCATGCCTTTATCTCCTCCAGACTCAACTACTGCAACAGCCTACTGTACGGTCTCCCCTCCACCCACCTCCAAAAACTGCAGTACATCCAAAACTCTGCTGTCCGCCTCCTCACCCACACCCGCTCCAGAAACCACATCACTCCTGTCCTTAAGCAAATCCACTGGCTCCCTGTACAATACCACATCCAATACAAGGTCCTGTTCATCACCTTACAGTCCCTCCATAACCTCATAACCTGGCCTCTCCATTTCTCACCAACCTCCTCCGTCTGCACTGTCCCACCCACCGCCTCAGATTAGCCGACACCAACCTCCTCACTCCCCTCATCAGGACAAAGCACCGGACCTTGGGGGACCAAGCCTTCGCTGCTGCCCCCTCCCTCTGAAACTCACTCCCACAATCCTTCACTTCAAATCACATCTAAAAACTCACCTGTTCAAACTGGCATTCCCCCATGATTCCCCCGTTTTCTACAATGTCACTTTTTGTTTGTAAAGTGTCTTTGAGTGTCCAAAAAAGTGCTATACAAGTTTGATGTATTATTATTATTATTATTGGCCCTCGCCACTAACAAAGTTAGGGGCGAGGGTATTGTTCTTCGTCGGTTTCTTTTTTTTTTTTTTTTTTTTTTTTTTTAATTCCCTTTTCCGACCAAACGATCGCATTTTTGACCCCCTGAACATGAACGAAAAGTCCCCAAACCGGGGTCCAGATCGATCGGCCCGGCGAAAAATTCGATAAAATGGGTATCGCGACAATGCCCAAAGTGACCCGACTCAACAGCGCCACCTAGAATTGGACCCCTATGGGAGTGGGGACAGGCAAAGTTGGTCGCAGGGAAACGAAATTCGGCACAGTGATAGAAAACAATGAGACAAGTCAAAAGATGAATTGGAGCATGACCCTATGACGAACAGGAAGTCGGCCATATTGGATCAAACATTCAGCGCCGTTTTGACTTGGGGGTCTACAAAAAGATTCAAGTCCCCGGGGTTTGGTCCAAATGAGCTCAAATTTGACATGTCACATCTACAGACATAAACTCACAGAAGTTGCCAAATTTTTATGGGATACTCCTTACGGTTCGCCCGTAGCACGCCGGCGAATAACGCCTTCATTTCCTGTTTTTTCGGTGACCTGTCACGGCCACAGGCATTGTCCTAGAGAGCTCAAATTCAAATCACAATTGCGTGATCCAGGCCTGAATGTGATGAAATATGAAATTTAATAAAAGTGAACTCTATAGCGCCCCCTAGCATAGACGTGAAACGTCAACATTATCAGATTAGTACCAAATTCGGGACATAAATTCTATGTATGATTACAAGCAAAAAAAGTCTATTACGGACATGATGCATTTTCCACTATTGGCCAGCAGGGGCGCAAAGACTCCCCCAAAAAATAGTTAAAAAATAATTACACCCACAGGCTTAGTCCGATCGTGCTGAAATTTGAATCACTAATGCCTGATCCCAGCCTGATTATAATACACTATAAAACATATGAACTGTGAACTCTATAGCGCCCCCTAGCATAGACATGAAACGTCAACATTATCGGATTTGGACCAAATTCGGAAATTAAATTCTATGCATGATGACAAGGAAAAAAGTATATTACGGACATGATGCATTTTTCACGGTTTGCCAGTAGGGGCGCAAAGAATCCCCCAAAAAATATTTTTTAAAATTATTACAGGGACATGCTTAGTTCGATTGTGCTGAAATTTGAATCACTAATGCGGGATATTGGTCTGAATATAATAAACTATAAAACATATGAAAAGTTAACAGTATAGCGCCCCCTACCTTAGACATGAAATGTCAACATTATCGGACTTGGACCAAAGTCGGGAAATAAATTCTTTGCATGATTATAAGCAAAAATGTCTATTACAGTCATGGTGTATTTTTTACGGTTGGCCAGCAGGGGCACAGAGAATCCCCCCAAAAATATTGTAAAAATTATTATATGCACATGTTTTGTCCGATTGTGATGACATTTCTATCAGTTATACACTGCATGACCCTTATTCCATTGATATGTCAAATACTGTTATCAGGGATACAGCGCCACCTATATGAATGCACACAATTTATTATTGTGTGACATAAAATTAGTTTTACATTCATTTGTAAAACTTTGCCAAAACATTCACTGACGTACTCCTCATCATAAAAGTCGGTAAGACCTATGCCCTAGTTTGACACTTTGGCCTCTAGAATAATTTCACTTCTGAGAAATTTAAAGGCACACTATGTAACTTTTCTGGTGGAGGATGTGTTTTCATGCACTTAGTCTTAGTGTGACAGTGCTCTTGACCATTAAAGTCACGTGACCTGTGGCTTAGTGTCTACAGTTTGTCTCTAGAATCATTCACTTTATCCAATTTTAAAGGTACACTATGTCATTTTTCTGGTGGACGAGCTGTTGGCCTCGGGAGCTGTCGGGAAGAGAGAGCGGTGTGTCGGGGCGGTCGCAAGTCCCCAGCATTCGCCAGGGGGGGCGGTGCGCACCCGGGGCGAGGGCCACCATCGCCGCGCGCGGCTTTAATTATTATTATTATTATATACCATTCCAGTGACCTGCTCTTATAGGCCAGGAGCCAGGTCCACTCATCAGGATGTTTTTTGCTACCTTTTTTTCACTATTATTTTCAGTTCACTTATATCTTGGCCCATCACAAGTTGATAGGAATCAACTTCAACTCGACCCCGTTTGGTCTCAGGGCCCAAAAAAACACAATTTTTTGGAAAAGCTATAGGCGAAATTTTATAACTGTAAATATTAAGGTACTGTAACTGCATAAATGGTCAAATAACCCTAAAATTGTGCATGCTGTATCCTAACACATGGGGGAAACTAGCAGAAAAACATTCTGGGGCTTGCTGCCTTTGTACTATCAAATATGTGCCTCAACATACCCCAAAAGACAAAAAAATGTCTGTTAGCCTGAAATGTCTGTTAGCCTGAAAATTGTCATCAAAAGTGATCATTTTCAAGCATTTTATTGCATATATCAATGCCTCAAATGTACATGAAAACCTCCAAGTTTATAAGTTTCAATTTAAGCCCAAGATGACCTTTGTATCTAGAGGGAAACAGCTGCTATGACCAAAGTTACTTATGGGATTTAGCAGGATTTTTTTCACATAAACATCATTTTAAAAGAGTTGTCTTATGTACTGCTGTACTATATGAAGTGAATTACATTAAAAGTGATTCATATTAAAACTCCGGGTGGACAGGGGTCAGGGTGCATGATAAAACTAACCAGGTTACACATACAATCACACACAGCCAACACACAACCAACCAACATCCTAACCCTTCATGCAACATCCCATCAGAAGTTATTTTCCAAAGACAATTTTGAGAGAAGTTGATACATTTTTCTGGTTACAAAGAGATTGAGTCTATTGGCAGATTGGTCCTTTTCTAGGCGTCTTCTAGATAACATTAGCTAGTTCACTTGTCAAATTGTTAATAATAACCAACCCAATGGAGTTAGCTTGTGTGTGTTTGTGTTTGTGTGTGTGTAAGTGCAAGTCTGTGCGTAATATCATCAGTAAGATCATCAGTCTGTTTGAGGCTAAACTTCAATGAAATGGAAACATTGGGTCTTAGTTCATGTATATTTACACATTGAATACTGCACATTATTTCACTGTTGTAATGAATACACTGATTTTCAGATGGGTGTAATGCAACAGTATTCTATCAAAAGCAGACAACATGCCAAAGAAACAACAAAATTATAAAGACTAGACATCAAAGTAGAAACCTCCACCTTAGCCATCTCCGCAAAACTGCAGTCTGCATAGTTACAAGAGGACAGTAA